GATGGAGAAGTCCATATGATTGAAATGATCAGTCATTATTTTTCTAATTAACCTGCAGTTGAACAGAGACGATTTATCAGTCAAGTAAAAATGTTTTATTTGTGATTTGTTAGGGTCATTTAGAGGTTTCAACCTCTGAGGTTGAAGGATTAGCTGCTCACTAAATACATACATACATATACTGGTTTACTTTATCAGGCACATTTAAAAACACTTACGTTGTGGGACTCTTGAGCTTTTATAATTTATCATCATCATCATCATTATTATTATTATTATTATTATTATTATTATTATTATTATTATTTGGCCTTTAAATGTCTGTCTGTCTGGTATAGGCGTTGCTGTATAGGGTAGAGGATGGCACTAACAATAAGACAGGAGGCAGAGCTGAAGGTGTGAGGATTTTCATTGGGACTGACCAGGATGGACAGGATTAAAAAAAGAGTACATCAGAGGGACGACTTAGGTTAAGTGGTTTAGAGACAAAGAGATGAGGCTGAGATGGTTTGGACATGTGCAGAAGAGTGATAGTGGATATACTGGCCAAATTATGTTGAATGTGGAGCTGAACAGCGGAAGACCTCAGAGAAGATTCTGAGGACAGAGAAGAAAGACATAGAAAGGGCTGATGTGACAGAGGAGGATGCTAGGGACAGGGTGAGATGGAGGCTGATTATCTGTTGTGGTGACCTCTAAAGGGAGCAGCTGAAAGAAGTCTGGTATAGGCAAAGCTTCCTGTGGTCTATTCAACATGTCACAATCCTAGGACAGGAAATGTATAATTTTATAAAACAATAAAAAGCAGCAAATCCTCCTCTTTGAGAAGCTGGAACCAAGTAATAAATAACGTAACAAAGCATTGGGTGATTTTTATTTCAAATAGTCAGGCATTGTCATAGTTTCCTTTTTTTTGGGGGGGCTCTTAAGTATTTCAGTAATGAGTACCTCAAATCAATGAGTGCCTCCCACTTGATTGCCTCAGTCAGATTTCTTTGTTTATAAACCTTAAGAATTACAATTGAAGTGCACAGGGATTTGGTGGACATT